GCTGTCAGTGTGCCTTTCAAAGTGATATCAGGGAAGAATTTTTATTCTGAAAGTTCCTTCTACTTGACTAGTGCTCAGCAGATCTTAACAATGGTGTGCTAATTTCATAAGTAAGGGAAGTGGTCAGGGTTACAGCAACTGCCAGGGCAAATATTGTCAAGGATCTATCAACTTCTCTATTACAAATTCCAATTGTCAAAGCTATAACTCAATCACAAAAGTTCAATTTTTGCTACAACTTGCTGTACAAATCTTCATCTTGGGTGCATTTTTTGCAGCTCTTTCTGAACTGTAGATGTATGAGATAGAGGGATTTAAAAGCTTTTGTTAATACCATAAATAAACCCATTACAAAGCCCCTTACATTCATTTGACAAGAGTTTACTTTGTTGCTGTAGGTACTGCTCATTTACACCAGTAGATATTATCCATTTTCCTCATAAAAAAGTTATAATTGATTGGTGGTAAATTGACTCTGGGGTTGGGTTATGAAGTTGCCACTTGGTTTGGTGCATGGCAATAAAGAATTGAAACCACCAAGATGTATTCTAATGCCAATTTCTCTATTTAATCCCTGTATATTGTATTTGCCAGATTAACTAATTGCCTCAAATTTGATACTGAAGTCAGCAAGTAAAGACTATGGTGGGGGGATAGTTACAATAATAATTCAATTTTGGGAGATATTTTGAGACTTGTCTTGCTAAGTATTTCAAGTTGTCCTTGAACTGACTATGTAGCCAACATAGGCTTTGAACTCACAGTAATCATCTTGCCTCAGCCTAATAAATCTACTTTCTGATCTTGAACAAGTTCATTAAGTCTCTATTTTTATATTCATTTGATCCAATTAAACTCAGTTTGTCAAACACACTAACCAACATACATTATGTCTCAGAAATTTAAGTTGTTATCCCAGTGGTCTTAAATAGTCAAATATATATCTATATCAATATCTGTATCTATATCTGTATCTACATCTATATCTATCTATATCTATATAATTATAACTCAAAGACTGATGGAGATATATTGTGAAATATGCTTTATCTCAAAATAATAAAATAGAAATACATTTTAGAATATTATTTCCTTAAAAGAATGTCCAGGAGGATGATCTATCCCTTTTACTAATATATACATATATATTCAGTATATATAATATATACATATATATTCAGTATATATAATGTATACATATATACTAATATATACATACACACACACACACACACACACACACACATTATATATACTGAATGCCTTTTCCCAGCCTACTGTTCTGCAATACCCTGTGGAGGAGTAGAGAAAACAGAGTGAGAGTCTCTGCCTTACAAAACTTATTATGTGACTACTAACTTTGTAAAGGACCTGAATATCATTGTCAAAGATCCCTCATCTGAGAGTCTTTCATAGGACAGTTTTAGGGTTATTCTCCAATAACAGCAATGCTTCCAAAATGGAGCTCCTGCTGAGTTTCTAAAGGATCTTTTTTGTAAGTCATCTAATGAACTGCTAACACTCAGTGGGATAAATAGCAAGGGAAACCCAACCTATAGATAATAAGATCTCTAGAAAGAGAAACAAAGACTCCTTCTGTTTGCAAAATTTTTATCATCAACCAGTGCTGTGTTCTTTTCTTATGTAGCCTGAACTTTGCACCATAGGAATCACGTCTCTGTAGAGGAAAATAAAGTCCATCTTGACTGCAAAGAGTGGAAAACTGAGCCATATTGTATTGGTCTTTGTGGTCATGTGTTTCTTTACTTTCACTCCCACCTCTCTTCAGTCTGACCCAGGAATTCCTCTCCCTCAGCTACAACAAGGACATAGTCCCTAGATACACACCAAGTAAGGGACATTGCTGCCTGTAGGCTGTTAATCTATGCCTGAGAATTGAAAGTGAGTTTCTTCTTGAGGTAAAAAATAGTGCCTCCCCTACATAGTGTCAGTGAATAAAAAATGTCACTAGTTATTCTACACAATATTAAATAAAACTAAATTTAACCACCTTCCCCCCAAAATCCTGGTGAAAATAGTGATTGTTTCATGGAAGAGAAGGAAGAGGAGGAACAGAAGTAAGCTAACACAATGGTAATTACATGCTAGGCACTTTTCTAAGTGTTTTATGTTCATTAGCTCATCTAATCATCACATTAAATTGATGATGTAGGAATCAATAATACACCCATTTTGCAGATTCTGAAGGAGTTTAAATGACTTGCTCAAAGTTAGTCAGTAGCTGGTAAGTGCCAGAGTTGGTGTTTGAACCCAGATGAACCTGATTGCATAGTCTGTGGTCTTAACCAGTTTGCATGTCCCCAGAAGAAAGCCTGATCAGAGAGCTGCTAGCATATGTTCATAGTGATCAGACCAATCTTATGTAAATGGCTTGATCTCTCTGGCCTTCATTTCTGCCTCTGCAAAGTGACAGATTTGGATTAGATGATTTCCAAGAACTATTAGTACTCTAATATTTGATAGCTGATCTTCATTTGTGGATTTGATTGTTCACCTGTTGAAAAGTATTCATAATGAAACAGCTGCACTCTGAGAATCTCTGTAATCAATGAGCCATCTTCTGAAAGGCCTTTGTGATCTCTTCCTCTGAAACAGATTAAGGTGTGCTCCATTTTATTCCCATTTTCCAACATTATAACTTTCAAAATTACTAGCTTTGTTAAATTGTTCCTTTTATCCCCATCTGCCTCTCTCAACTGTCTCTATCCTGGAAGATATGGTTGGATAGAAAGTTTGAAGTCTAGGAATGGGTAGATTCCTATGCAACATGTCTGCTTCACAGATACTTGCGAAGTTAATTGAAGAAATAGTAGGAATGGGAGCTACTTGTGAGTGGTACTCTGTGAAGAGTGGGTGAATCTTTTAAATTGTTTTTTAAATGAGATAACTTAGTGTCAATGCTTTTACTTGTAAATTTATCTGACAGATCTCACTAACAAGTGGAGAATCTGACTGCATAATGAAGAAAAGTATGAATGTTGATTGATCAGCTTATTCTGAGAACAGATGTTAGAACTTTTTAGACCATACTAGAAAAGCCAGCCAATAGAGATTAAAAGTATATAGTATACATGATATATATACTGGTAATACAGTGCATTATGTAAAAAAACTGGTAATACTGAATAATTGAGTTAAAATGTCCTGGTGTTACTAATATTCATAAACATAATTTAGCATTTTATTTAATATTTCTTTAGATATATGTTTAATTTCTGTTAGAATACAAGTTTTACAATACTTTTAACTTAAAATAATATATTTCTTAAACTGAACATTTCTTAGAGGACAGTTAGCATAATTTTAGGTGTCAACATGAAGGAGACTCAGTAAAAGTGGTTTGGTTTGCTTTGGTTTTCATTGGCTATATTGAGGATCAAACCCAAGGCCTCTTCCTTGTTGTTCAAGTGCTGTACCAAAGAGCTACATCCCAGGGCAAGGAAAGACATTTTAAATAAATTAAATATGCATAAATTCTGCCTCTTGAATCTTGTAAACTAGAGGTAATATTCTAAAAGATTGACATTGGAAAAAGAATAATCAATTTCTCATAAAACAGCTTCCCAAATGATCCAACTCAACATTAGATTACTAAGATCTATGTGAACTGATAACACTTAAGATAAACTAAGACATTTAAACTATTTTGTTAGTCAAATCACTGAACTCTGGGATAAAAAATTCTATCCCATAAGAATATAACATTTGCTTTTACATGCAGTTTTCATTCTTACTGTAGATAAAATAATGTCCATTTTTACTTTTTATTTAAATATTTAAAATCCTGTATTTGTGTATGTACCTATTATGTACCGACAAATAAATCTGTGTTGTGTGTGGTTATACTTGCATTGTTTGGGAACACAGTGACATATACAGAAATAAATTCATAAGAGATAATGGAGCTTATTCAAGAACTCAATTTTTAAATTAATACTCCTTGACACTTTTTATTCTTTGAATTGAGCTGTTACTAATGTAAATCTTAAAAATTTAATCTTCAATAAATTACCATTTTAGCTATAGGAAAACCTGCTATTTGAAGATTCCTGATTGATTATATAAATCAGTAAAAACTCCAAGGTTTAGTTTTTCTCCTGTGCTTTTATTTCTAACAATACATTATTGAGTATCTACAATGTACTAATGTTCCTATTTACTGCTTATACAATCTTTCAATAGCACACATGACATCTTAGAAAAGATATTATCCTCCATGTGGAGATTTACTTATTTCATATTAATTCATCATCCTCTCAAATCTGGTTGAAAAATGAATTGTTACTTTTTTTCTTTCTTCTTCATTAATCATGTAGGTCCTCCAGGTCTTAAAGGTGATCGTGGAGTAGTTGGATTTCCTGGAAGTAGAGGAATCCCTGGACTAATAGGAAAGGCGGGAAGAACAGGTATTACAGTACTATGTATTTTGTTGTAGAATATAAACATAAAAACTACACAGAGAGTTGTTTTTCAATCTCTTGGATAGTATTTTGATACTTCATCATAATATGAATAGTAGCACTCATGTTTGGTGTATTTTATTTCTTGAAATATTTTAAAAGTGATTTCTGTTCACCTGAAGAAAGTGTTTTATGTCCTAAAGGACAATAGCTTAAAACACAAACACACACAGGATTTATACCCAAGACAATCATAAGTCGCTAAGAAGACCTGTATCTATATTAGAGCAAATGAAGTGGAAAGAATGGCAAAGAAAAACAAGCAAAGTATAAATATGCCATTAACAATTAATGGCAAGCCCTGTTAAGTTACTGTGGCAAACTACAGCAAACCTTAAAGTTCTACTTTAAGCAAAATAAACTGCCTGCTACTTTTTATTAGTGCTTGAAAATTCACATTGTTCAACACTCCAATATTTACATATATGATGACAGATTATTACAATAGCCCAAGCTTGGGTTAGGTACTTTACCCAAGAAGTTTAGAAGAGAGTAGGCTTATGTTTTCTTAATTTCATAGTAAATTATCACCAAGACGAAAAGATCTGTTTTAATTGATTTTATTTTTAGATGAATTTTATGTTTATAGAAAAATTGCACAGACTGTATAGAGTTCCCATATACCACTCACCCACATGCAGTTTCCTCTATTTTTAACATCTTACATTAGTATGGTACATTTGTAACAATTCATAAAACAATACTGATACATTGTTATTAATGAAAGTCCATAGTTTTCAATAGGGGTCATTCTTTCAATTTTACATTGGCTGAGGTTAGGCAAATATAGAATCATCATGTATCCATCACTACAATGTTATACAGAATAGCTTCACTGCCCTACAAATTCCCTAGTTCTATCTACTTGTTACTACCTCCCTCCAAAACTCTGAGAATTATTGATTTTTTTACTATTTCCGTAGCTTTGCCTTTTCCTGAACATCATATAGTTGTTAATTATACAGTGTGGTCTTCTCAAACAAGGTTGTTTTACTTAGCAAGATGTATTTAAGATTTCTATATTTTCAGGGCCTGATTATTTCTCTTTATTACTCAACAGTATTCCATTTTATAGACTGATCACAATCTATTTAGCTATTCACCTATTGAACGACATCTTGGTTGCTTTCATGTTTGGAAAATTATTCATAAAGCTGTTATAAGTTTACCTAGGAGTGTGATTTCTGGATCACATGGTAAACTATGTTTAGCTTTGTAAGAAATTGCTAAACTATCTTCCAAAGTGACTCTATGATTTTGTATTCCCATCAGCAATGAATGAGAATTTTTATTGTTCCACATGCTCACTGGCATTGGATGTTATCAGTGATTTAGAGTTTAGCAGTTCTATTAAATGTGTTGTGCTATTACTGATATCAGTGTATATGAACTGTGTCTATGCCAATTAGCTTGCAGAAAAATCAGCTAGCCTCAAGTAAGCAACCTATAATTAGATTCCACTAGAGATGTGATTACCTGAAATGAGTGGTGTATTTATGTACCAACCACTGCTAAGCCATCTAGCTTTAATCAGACCCTTTTGGCAATATGAGAAGAACCATTTGTTGTTTAATTTGCTTGAAATTATCTACATCACTTGAGTATTGCTAAATTTCATTTATGGGCAATTTGAGTTCAGTAGACAAATATGTTTAAAATCTTAAATTTGACACAATTGCAATACTACTACAGATTCCTAGATAATTTAACATAATTCTGTGAAAAAAGGATACATTGTTTTCTATACTCTAAATTTAGACTAAAACATGGTATATTAATCTATGATCTGCTCAAATAATAATGGTTATTTAGTATACTTGGGAAAAATCAAGATTTCATTTTGAACTCTTTATGTACTTTCCTAATTACATTATGCTACAGAATAAGATTAAATCACAAGTGGGTTAGCCCTTTTCTATTCTCAGATATCCGAGACATTGCTGCATACCAAGACTTCCAAGAATCACTTACAGTCTCCTCTCTTTCCAAATTGTGAAACTAATGGTTAAATGGCTAAATTAAACTGAGGATTTTATTATGTTCTCTGTAAAGAATTAAAACTGATAAGTTGTTTTAACTCTCCTCTTCTAAATACTCAAAAGTTTCTTAGAATTTTATTTATTTTATTTGGAGGGGGGTGCATCGGGGATTGAACTCAGGACCTTGCACTTGCCAGGCAGGCACTGCACCGCTGAGCTACATTCCCGGCCCACTTAGAATTTTATTAATAAACAATCTGAAAATTTGTTATTATACTTCATAAATGGGCAACATTTGAAAGATAATAGAAATACTGGGGACTTTGTGGTACTTAATGATTTTTGACTATTTAATGCTACCTAAAAAATGATTCAATCACAATTAACATTTAATGTGAATTTAATGATATAAATATAATCATATTATGCAAAGCAATTTGGGAATTAGAAATTCTCATCATAGTACTCCAAAAAGGAATAGTTGGCATATCATTAAAACTTCAAATAAAATTTCAGTTGGGAATAATTTGTACCTTTTAATTTCTTTTAAGTCTCATGCTACTCTTTACACATATTACACTTTTTTAAATGTAATAAATTAGGAATCAGAAATCTTCTTGAAGAGGTACATAAGAAGAAACAGTGGACAAAAAGCTCAGAGGAAGACAAAATAAACTAGTAAAACAAAAAACAAGTATTAAAACTTTAAAGTATAATGAAAAGTAAAGTGCCACAAAATGCTACCTGTGTTGAAAAAGTCCTGTTTTCATTCAGTGACAGTAAAATCACAGACATCAGATTCTAGCTAAGTTGTGGGAGTTGAAAAGCAGAAACAATAATAAGGTGGCTTCCATCTCTTATAAGCTTATGTTTTATGAACATAGATGCTAAGTTTCAAGGCAACTCTGCAATGAGAGGAATTTTATTTTCATATTATAGTGGAATAAACTTTATCTCAAAAAGGATTAAAGACAGTCCTCAGGTTCATATCTAGAAAATAGCAGAGCAAAATCTTTCAAGACAAAATTTTTAAAATTATAACTGTTATTCCAAAATCTATGATTTTTAAACAATGAGAAAAGAATGGAGATTCTTGATTTTGTGGGGAGTGGATCAAAAACATTAACAAAGGTTTTGACTTGGAGACAGATAGCACTAGACTCAGTCCAACATTTGTGCCCAGAAGGTACACCTTTTTGTTGATGGTGGGTGGGAAGTTTATAGGGGATTGAACCCAGGGCCTCACACACACTAGGCAAGCATTCTAACACTGATCTATACCCCAAGCTCCCTGCGTATGTCCTCTAAAAATGGAACTGTGATTGAAGTAGCAAACCATTAGTGAAGACCAAGGTTTGCCACTCTGACTGTCATACAAAATGGCAATATTTATACCATACCCCTTTGCAAATGGGTATGGATTCTCAAGGGAAAAACTGACCAGCATAGAGGTTTGGATACTCCTGAACCTTAATATTTTCCCTTCAGGTTGAGGTTATCAGAAATTCAGGACTTCCAGAAATTCATCCACAGCTCAGTCTTTGGGATGCTCTCTCCTAAAGGAATGGAAAATGCTACAGATAAATTGTAATGAAAATAAAAGAACAAAGCATAGGGTGAGATAGAAGATTCTGGGTTTCCTGGAGGAGGGAAGAAGGCAAAGAGAAAAATGAGGATAAATAAGCACAAAGCAAACTTATATTTCAGTTTTGTATAAATTTGTTTTACAAAAGTGAAACATTTAACACCTTTATAAATTTTGAGATAGTATATCAAGTTAATAGGTTTTTAAAAGTGATATTATTAGTATCAATATTGTTATTCTATTTCATTATCTGTAGCTGGTTATACATTGATATTTTATATCACCTTGGGATGTCCTATTTCCATATAAAGCAAGTATCTGGGGGACTAGGGATGTAGTTCAGTGGTAGGGTTTGTGCTTAGCATGTAGAAGTCTCTAAATTCAATTCCCAACATAAGAAAGGAAGAAAGAAAGAAAGAAAGAAAGGAGAGAGAGAAAGAAAGAAAGAAAGAAAGAAAGAAAGAAAGAAAGAAAGAAAGAAAGAAGGAAAGAAAGACCAATTGACTTGACATCCTGTTTAAACTATTTTTTCTCCTTCAAGGAAATCCTGGACAAAAAGGCCAAAAGGGAGAAAGAGGAAGTGGGAACACATTCAGTAAGTTTATCATTTCTTCTTTTCTGTGTGCATTTTTTAAATGAATAAGATTGTCTCATTAATGGTCTGGGCTTGAGACAAAGGTTGGGCAATTCGGCAGCAATCCATAGATTCTGTGAAAACCAAGCTCAGTTTTCCACAAGTAAAACATGCTAACTGGATTAAAACAAATGGATTAAATTATACAAGTCTTTCAGTCTCATTACCCATTTGTATTCTCTGTCTGTGATGAGCACTATTTTCTAAAAATTTCACATAGAAAATTGTTCAATTTTCTATTCAATTTGTATCCACTGAAGGAAAATCAAGTTTATAAATAGAAACAATTATAGCTTCTTTACCTACTAACTTCACTAACTAAAACCCTATATATGTATATATAGGAATTTAGACAACCTACGAACCTTATAGATTAATTCACTGAAGGCCATGATTGTTCAGTTTGGATTTACTACAGACTTGAAAAATTGATATTTTATATCCTAGATTTTCAAACCTGAAGAGAAGAGATTTTACAACAGGAACCTTTGTCAGTGAAATTGTAGACCTCCTGGTGCAATGTAGAGAATCCATTGATTGGACCACAAACTGAATATTAGATTGGGTGCCATCAGTTTGTCATGCTATAAGTAATTAGATGTGTGTTTAGGCCAATCTATATTAAAATAATGAAAAAGTTATGAAGAGGAATGAGGAATCCCTACTTGGACCTTCATAATCAAAGGGGTGCTCTCCTATACTCTCTTGGAGTTTTTTGTTTTGTTTCTGTTTTTGTTTTTGTTTGAGACAGGGTCTTGCTGTACAGTTCAGGCTGGTCCTGAACTCACTATGTAGCCCAGGCTGGCCTTGAACTCACACCTGCCCCAGCCTCCCAAGTGCTGGGATTATAGGTGTGCACCACTACGCCCAGCTTCTCCTATATTTTCAATGGGAAGTCCATGTGATATCCCATTTGGGGATTATGGGAATAGCTAATACTCACACAGCAGTCATAATCTATTCTTTCAGTGGTCTGTTTTGTGCGAATTATGACAAATATCTTTCAGTCTGTCAAATATCAATGACAAAAGTCTTTCAGTTTTTAGATGCAATTATTGTTATTAAAAGAACAGTACCAGTATTTCTCCACTTTTGCAAAAATAAGTGTTTTAACCTAATACTATGTATGGACAACACATTTAGACAATTTATAGTTGTCATTGTGAAAATCAGCCAAAATTTTTTCTTTTATTTTGAGACAGTTCTCATTAAGTCACTAAGTTACCAAGTGGTATTTGAACTTGCAATCCTTTTGCTTCGACCTCGCAAGCACTAGAATTACAGGCACAGACCACTGCACCTGGCTAGCACACAGTAACTCTGATGGTTTCAAAGCTGAAGAACATAGAGTATTGTGTGTCTTCCTAGAATGCTTTAGTGTTATTTAATGATGATTATTGTTATTATATTAAGGTAACAGAAGCATTAGCGTAGTTTTTATCCTCTTTGTGTCCATTTATTCTTTAAGGCAGTTACATTTGTCTTCTGTATACTCTTTATTTCATTATTTTCTTTTCACTCATTTTAATTTCAGTCAATCTCTTGTAAGTCTCTCTTCCCTAGCTTTATGTGCATCTTTATCTACACCTTTGGGGTTTTTTCGGTTTGTTTGTTTTTTCGTTTGGTACCAGGGATCAAACTCTGGACCTTGTGCTTAAGAGGCGGGCAGTGAAACCACTGAGCTAAATCCCCAGCCATGGTTTGTTGTTGTTGTTGTCATCGTCCTCGTCGTCGTCGTCGTCGTCGTCCTCGTGGTCGTCCTCCTCCTCCTCCTCCTCCTCCTTCTCCTCCCCCCCCCATCTCCTTTTCCCCAAGGCTTTCTCTGAGCTGCTAAAATCTAGTTGAGTTTAGAAAATCAGGAACTTTGTGATTTATTTATTTATTTTGACTGTAAAATGAGCAGCCACACAATTACCTGAGGTTAGCAAATGCTTGGAACATTTTTAAGCTATGTTCAGCAAAGTTGTCAGTTACAGAATTTTCATGGCTATTTTGGAATTTATGTGCATTCTTTTTGGAGAAGCAGTGAGAGCTATTTATATCAACATGTAGTTAGCCTCCAGATTCCTCTCCATGCCTGCCCCGTGGAGAGTGCATAATGCCATTTTTCAAAGAAAGAAAAAATCATATATAAGCACGTCTAATATAATGTGTTGAGCATTTTCCATGTTTAATATACCAGTTACCTGTCCTTGTCACTACAGATAGCTCCATCCCTTTTCTCTTAATGACCATATATTGCTCCAATATGCTGTTATATAATAATTACCATGACATATCACTCAAGCCCCTTGTCTTAAACACCTACTGATTTTCGTTTGCTTTGGTTTGGGTTTAATAATGAACGCTCTACTCCACCTTCACATACATGATCATCTGAGACTATGTTTCTCCTGAGGATTTATAGAATTTGAATCAATGGTTCAAAGGTGATATGTATTTTGTAATTTGATGAATTCATGCAAATGGCTCCAAAAAGGTTTTACCAGCTTACTTTGTATGAAATTCCTGATTCTCTACACCTTTAATTCTTATATATGAAATGTTACATTGAATTTTCTTAATGTAATAAAAATAATCATTTATTTCCTCTTTTATATATGTGTCAGGACCAGTACAACACCCTGATTTTATTTGGTCAGAACATTTTTAAGATCAGGTGGGTTGGGCAGGACCCCCTCTGATGCCATCTCATTAAAGGCTCTTCATCTCTGGACAAGTCATCAGCACAACTGACTTCCAAGATTCCTTTGTGACTCCTCCAAATGACCTTGGCTCCTGTGTCGTGCCCAGCTACGTGGCTTCTCTCCTGACCCTTGGTGCTATTGGGCCTCCATTGCTTTTTCATACCATTTTTTACTCTCCCACCATCAGCTCCACCCCCAGCCTGCACAAACCCATGTACACTAGTGGAATGCTCTATCTCATCCTCAGGTACAGGGACAGGCGCCCTCTGCTGTCCCCTCACTCAGTTTTTCAGAACCCAATGTAATCCATTAAATTCTAGGAGAAATCTCATGGGGGTACTGGTTATATCTAGGGTGTTTTTAGTTTCAAAACATTATTGTCACCCAGGGTAGGAATGACAGAAGAAAACCCACTCACTTTCATTTGTTCATTTATTTAGCATATGTGTAGTATGTGTACTTCTTGGAGCTGGACAACTAGTGAAATAGATGGTGGCCCTAGCTTTACAGAGCTAATTGTTTTTGAGACATACAAACAAATAAACTCATAATTATAACATAACAGAGTTATACTGAGGGAAGAACAGGGCTGTACCTATGTTCAAAGGATATAAAGATTTTTAATTATTTAAAATATTAAAAAATAAATTTATTATGATTTGCTTAGTTTACCTTCCTCTCTTCTTATTCTGCAAATTAGGGCATATTTTTTTCTGAGTTTCAAAGTGAAATACAGTTGAGATTAGGCAACACATTTGAACCAAAACCTGAATTTGTTTCTTTAAATTGCTTATTCATTTCTGAAAAGCCATTTTGATCATGGTAAAAATAATGCTGATAATTTTTATTCCAAAAATCTCCTATATTTTATGTTTTAAGTAAAAAGCATGGAGAAAAAGAAATCTCTCAGTAGAGAAAGAAACATTTTATAGAGAAAAAGAAAGGTAAGAAAATGGAAAAGCAGGAAAGGTAAGAAAAGTCAGAGGAAAAAAAAGAACCGTGAGATATGTAGGATTCTATGTCATGTTTCACTGCCTCTCTACTGATTAACAGACCACATTTCACAACTCTCCTTTCTTTCCAGCTTCACCACATAGCCCCAAATTCACATCATTAAGGTTCTAGTATATTCTAAATAGAACGCTGGCATGTGTACCACCATTTCAGTCCCCTGCTTTGCCAAATGGGCGTGTCAACACCTACCTCACAGGGTTGTTGTGAGGGCCAAATAAGATACTGTGTGTGAATATGCTTTGTAAAATCATAAAGTGCTTTAAACTTATAAGGTATGGTTCACAGTGGTCTCTCTGAACGGCAATTGCTGTTCCTCTCTGGTATCCTACAGACATTTTAAATCTGTATTCCAAATGGGAGAGAAAACAAAATGGAAATGCAAAGAACCAAATAAACATCAGGGACAGAAAGAGAGATGCTACAGAATAAGACAAGATTTTATATTAGATAGAGCAACACACAAATATGACCAGATCACAAATCAGTGAGTTTGTCTCAGCCTAGCAGGAGAGCATTAGTTACAAATAAAAGAACCAACTAACGAGAGTGTACACTAGAGGCCAGAAGCTGTCAACAGAGGTCAGAACAAAATGTCAGGATAATAAAGCAAGAGTCTGGGCTGTGAAGGACAGAGCCTGAGCCTAAGGCATTTCTGTTGAGAAAGTTCCAAGAAGTGTTGAAAGAAATTTAGACTTGTCAGTGGTATTATGTTAGGGTCATAGCTGCATGACTCCAAAATCTTCAGAAAGCAAAGGGAAAAAAGAAAAGAAGATTAGGCATTTGTCAAAATACTCCTCAGTATTAGCAAAATGACATCGTTGAGTAGTTAATTAGTGCAAACATCTAGAGATAAATGGGATTTTAATCCAAGGTTTTATTGACGTGACTTGTTCCCCTCTCTGCAGTGGAGGTCGGGGAGAATGTGGGACTCTCTCTCATTCCAGTAGGCCTTCATCCCCGCTGCCTAAAGAATGACCCTAAGCCCAGCAGTTCTGGGAAGCATTTCGAGGGGATTTAGTTCACAAATCATCTAACACCCAACATCCTAGACTAAATATAGATTGTTAAGTACAAAGAACTTTCAAAATCAGGGTAGAAAAGCTTTGCTTTCTCTTTAGACAAAAATAGATGCTGAGTAAACAGTTCAAATAAACAAATTATACATATAACCTTAAACAATATCTAATGTAAAGAAGCCTGCCCCAAACTCAAGTGCTAGTCACAATGAATGGTTTGCTAAATGGGAAGGATGTTGCAATCAAGCAAAAGAATTCATGCCATATAATTAACTGCTTTGTAAGGTTCTGTCCTAAATAGTCCAAATACCTACTTGTCGTTTGTTAGTCTGTTTAAATGTACTTTGTGCATGCATGTCCAGTGAGACTAGAAGTAGGATGTGAATTTTGAGTATCTCACTTTGAAACTCATGCAGTGATATTGAAAATCAATTTTTCTTTGGTTTGATTTCTACTGTAGACTTAGTTCAATTTTACGTGAATTTTGCTTTGTTTTTTTCTCAATTAAATTCTCATTTATCTGTTCAAACTAAATCCTTCTCTGATTATTAAATAGTTATGGTAAGGAATATTTAGAGGACACTTGGTGTGCACAGGGTGCTTTTGAAACATTATCATGCCTAATACAAAGAAGAGCCATTGGAGTAAGTACTACCAGTATCTCCATTTAATGAATTATAAGCAGAGGCCTACTGCTAATAAGTGGAAGAGCAGAAATTGAAGGCCATGCCCATCAATCTCCAAAGTCCCTATGGCTCTATTCAACACTCCCATGCTAGTTTTATATATTTTATATATATAATTACCACAAACATTTAGTGTAGAGGGTGTGGAAAAAAAGGGAAGAAGAGAGATAACAAGACTTGTAATGAGCTATCTGGTTTTCTAGAATAAACTTCATAATCTAAAAACATTAAAGGCATAAAAATTCTTACAGTAAGTCAAATTCAAAAATAAATTACTTGATTAATTTTGATTTGTTTATATTTCCACCTTCACAACCATTCCAGATGTTGCCTGCAGTCTCTCATCAAAGAATATTACTCAGAAACAGTCTTCCTGGAATGCTCTAAAAGCTTCTTTTATCACTAATGAGAGTTACATATGTGCACCTCGGGAAGAGCTGGTAATATTCTGTCTTTATTTCAGTAACTGTCTTCGTTTAACATTTGTCGGGATCATTTGGCTGCCATGTTGTCTCTCTTCTTTTATTGTGCCTCTTTTTTTAACTCCACAACTTACTTTGTCAGTAGTACTTGTTAAAAGCAGGGTATAGAGAAAACAACTACTTGAGCAACAATAGTTGTAGGTAAATTAGATCAATATTGCTCATTGCTTCTTGACAATTATGTGGTATTTAAAGTTTTCTGTGATTATTGGAAGCTGTGCAAACTCCCAATCATCTGACCAAGGGTATAGTGGCAGGATTAAAAAGACAAGATCTTAATGTATAAATGGAGGGCCCAATATGGTCAAAGCTCTTATCAGGCTAAGACGTCATCTCCTGGAGCTTGCCACTATTTATTGAACATGCAGCTTCTAGAAGGGGTAAGGGGCAGTGCAGGGAACAGTGAAGTGGAGAGCACTGATGAGAGCAGGTTCTTAGCAACAAGGGAAAGAAACATTCTAGCAAGAGCAGCTTATATATTAATTGAAAATTTGCTTCTTCCCATGGATTAATTTTTTCTTCTATGGGGAGTTTTCTGTATGAATCATGCTGCCCTTAGTTGCACTATTGTCTTGCCATCCAAGACGTCACAATGTCATGGATCATTAAGACCTCCACTGTGACCAGTGGTGTGGGAAGTTGTTCCTTTCCAACACACCAGTTGCTGGGAAGCCACTGTGGGCCAGTAGGTAGACTCAAACTTTTAATATGCAAAGCCAATTTATGAATTTGTAGCATGTTTGGGGTGATCTCCATCAAGTGATTCCACAAGTTTTTAGTAAAACTATACAGCATTCCATTAACACAATAGATGTGTTCCTTAGTAGTCTACATTACTAATGTGTCTTGCAAATCGAAATAGAAATTTAAATCAGTAATGGATCAAGCAGTTAGTACTTGTCCTGCTTATTCCCTATTCCAAATGACTCCTAGATCACCTAGAGCAAATTAGAAGGCAAAAAAAAATGTATTCAGTTTCATGCAGGTCTTTTGTACCAGTAAACTTGAAATCCATCCAGTATGTGCAGGAATGCAAGCGGAGAAGAGAGATCTGACATACTGCTTCCCATTCCTCTACAACCTGAGAATCAAGTGGCTTTTCTGCCCCTCTTGAGGGAGCTAACTCCTTGCTTCACATTCTGCAGTGAGAAACTGAGACTCGCACTAACACATGATTTGTATTGTTCATATTCAAGTATCTTCTGAATATAGGCTCATAATCTATTCTATAGCACCTTCAACTTGTCCTTCTGAAAAGGTGCTGCTTCTTATACTCTGAATCTCAAAACGAAATTCCCCGAGAAAACAGTCAGTTTGTCTGTATATAAAGTATCCAAGAATTCTTCCCACCCTGGTTAACCAAAGGATTCTTGATCATTCCTTGGGGTGCTAGTTATTTCCATTTCCTGCTTCTAATTTCTTACATCCTGCTTGATCCACTTCAAAGTGAAATTCCTAAATGCCATACATTTTAGGAATATATAAGGAATTCTAATGTGAATTCTTTAGCAAAATGATCTTACGTCCTATTGTTTGCTGTAAGTTTGGATTTTCACTTCCTAGAAATCCTGAAAAGTGAACCACTTTAACTGAATACAAATGTTTAGTTTCTGCATACAATATTTTCAAAAATTTCACGTAGTTTATAGCATAATTCGTTTTTCCCTTATAAGTTATTTGTTCTGTTTTAAAATATTCTCGCCCCAAACTCTCCCTTAGTTTATTATCTTTCCTGATACCTACTACATCCAAACACATGCACATAGAAATATAATTTTTGTGCCTAAAGAACATTTAATATATTAATCAGAGAGTAACCAGTTAATCAGTTAAATGAATTATTATAAATGTATCATCTCAAGGTTCTTAATAAATACTGTTGTAATTTTTTTGTTCTGTGCATAAAACCCAGAGCCTTGATGTGTCAAGGAAAAGCCCTGCCACAGAGCTACATCCCCAACCCTTAAATAAGAGTCTCAAGTAATCAGTTCATACCCCAGCACAGTAGGTATGGCCCCTTAAATTCTCATCTATAAACTAGAGAAGGAGCTTGTTTTTTCAAGTTTATAACCAATGTGATTTCATCATCCTTTTACTTGAAAACATTCAAAAACAAAAATGCCTTAGTCTGTTTACACTACCAAAACAGAGTACCCCAGAGTAAGTAGCTTAAAAACTGAAATTTATTTTCTCACATTTCTGGAGATGGGAAGTCCAAGATCAAGGTGTAAATAGGACTGATTTCTCTAAGGCCTCTCTCCTTGACCACTTTCTCACCATGGCCTTCTACTAAACTCCTAGTGCCTTTCCTTTTCTAAAAACACAGTCATCCCACTGAATTAGGGCTTTACATTTATAATCTCTAGTCTTGTTCACCGTGGTAATTTTATTTTAAATACAGTCACATCAGAGGTTAAGACCTCAACATCTGAATTTATAAGGGATACAATTTAGTACATAAATTATCAAGAATCAATCCTATGTCTGTGGGTAGTCTCATATCTAAATCTCTGCAAATATGCTTCAGTATAACTTTGCCTGCTTTTCCACTACTTTATTCTGAAAGAAAGTTTAAATTACACCATAAACAAATTTGAGACATTCTGGTGTTTTATAGCTATAAGAACAATTTCACTTTATTTCTTACCAATATTTGATTTTCACACTTCAGTGATACTCCTTCCTATTTTTGTACTTCATAAAATAATAAAAATTACCAGAATAATGCAATTTAAGTAAACAATAATCAAAGCTAATGAGATTAATGACAAACAAAATGACCTTGCCATCAGTCGTACTCTTCCTCAGATATATTTGTATGAATAGTTAAGTAAGAAGTAACAAAAACTTGCTTAATCAAGAAATGTAATGTGTTGGCTCACATAATTAAGAATTCCAGGTGCC